GCTATCTGGCAATGTGCATTTTCCCCTTTGGCCAACAGGCTATCTTCAGAATTTAAGTCTATAGTATTAGTATACAAAGATATCAGAGATGCCTCTTTTGATGAAGTACAGTGAATTGAATTTTGTCGAATTAGGTGTGAACCTGGGTTTTTGAGAGAACTGGTTGGGTATTTGTGACCCTGTAGTCTGGCCCAGGAAAACCTAGCCACTCTAGATAAGTGCCATGTTGACCCCTGGTCAGTCCCACTACAGGGGCCCTCCATCCCTCTCCTGGGGTATCCTGAAATAATAGACACACTCTGGGCTGTGCTGCTGTGTGACCTGCCCAATGTTCCACTAGCAGAACCATCGGCCTGAGAAGATGGTGCTAATAATTCACATTTCTGAGTTTTGTCTATGAGAGTCCCCTCCCCCAACATGTCTCTACAATGCAGGGCTTGACTTCGAGGGCTCAGTGCTATTACCTATATTCCTTACTTTCTGCCCTTCTCCATTGGGTCAAAAGGTGGAGGTAGATGGTGATAACATTTGTTTTATTTAACTTATATCTGATAAGCTGGGTTTTCTGAGTAAGACCTGCTCACAAAAGAAATCTTGGGACTAGGAAACAAAAACTTATATCCATTGACAACTGACAGGAAATGTTACATGAGATCCTTTCCCTGAATCAAAGGGAATGTCCTAGTTGTAAGCTATCTACTCTTTTCTCTGTATTTCATTTTTGATATTTGTGTTTTCTTCTATAAATAGCCATTTTCATTCTATTGATTTTGCATAATTGCCTACAATTTAAAACCCTTCTTTCTCATTTGGTGTCTGATCTTTCATACTCAGTATTATTTGCATGATTTGGTATACAAAATACAGCATAGAGAAAAGTGTACACTTGCTTAACAACAACAAAAATAATAGCCACTGCAATCATCAATCATCTACATTAGACACAAGTTGAAGTCCCAAACCCAGGGACTTAATGATGGGATAGAAGGACCTAGAAAGTTCCCAGCTTTCCTTCTATTCCTCATTTGCCAGCCTGTAAAGATCAGAAGCACAACTTACCTTTGTAAATGTGGTGCCCAGGCAAGGTCTAACACAGTTAGTTCTGTGAAATCCTGTGTGCAGGGCTCTTATTCAATAAATGTCTGAACTACAACCCAGAACAAGGAAGCACAACCTCAATCACTGTTCCAGGAGACAGCTTGGAAGCCTCGCCTGAGTGCAATAACCAGTTCTGTGAATCATTCTGTAGCTACAAGTCCAACAGAGATAGGGAGAGAAGTAGCCTTAGCTTCATCTCCAGGTCCTCCCCACGGAGAAGCCATTACCAGAAGAGATAAAAGCAGCTGGAGAGTCAGGGATTGCTCACCATAATCATGGGAGAACCAGCAAAAGGCAGTCATGAGAGGATAGTTGGTAGCTGGCTGACTGCTAGAGGCCATCTGGAAAAAGCAACAGCTGGTCTTGAAACAGGAGACTTTTTTCTTTGAAATAAGCTTTACAGACCTTTCCGTCAGAGGGCAGAAGATTGCACCAATACATCAAGAAACCAATTTCATAATGAAACAAGTGAGAAAGGAAATGATAAAATCAAATCTATCACATTCCCTAAAATTTTGGAAGACTTCCAATGATCACTTTTAGGAGGATGAAAATTGAGCATCAAATGTTAATGGAAAAATCATTATAGGGGACATGGAAAAAGGAAGTTCATCTGGAAGGAAGGATGGAACAGCTGTTGAGTTTATGCTTCCCTGTGGCTTGTACGTTGAATAAATAAAAGCCATAAAAATGGATTGTAAGTCTAGGAGATTATATCGACGTGGCATTCACTCATTGCTTGATAACCAATGGCTGACATGGAGTTCTAACATCAATTATTTGTGCTCACTTATTCCCCACATCCTACACAATATCACTCAATAATGACTATCCAGCCACAGATTTTGTTAATAAAAACGTGGACGCTTACTATTTTTTGATGTGTTTGGGACACAGAATTCCCCTAGAAAGATGAGGAGGGCATCCAGGAGGCACAGAGGGGTACACCAGCCCACCTCATGGCCCCCGTCATCTCAGTTTCTACAACAATATTTAAAGATAGCCTTGGTGCCTCCTCCACACTGCACTCTCCCCCACCAAAAAAAAAAAAAAAGATTTGTAGAATTTAAGATGTGGAAAGCTGAGACCCGGTACACTAAACCACACTGTAGCCAGCACTCTATATACAGATTGCTAAAGTCTGAGGTACCGATTCTGGTCCTGAAAAGGAATAAAACTAGATGTTTAAAAGAGTATCACATCAGTAACTGTCTTATTCTATAGATGAGGTACCCAGAAGCTTCCAAATGCAAGGCTCCTTTCCAAAAGCCACAGTTTTGACAGAACTTCATGCAATTTTTAAAAGAAGCATTTATCTTTCTGCCAACTAGGAAATCACGTTTGGGGGTCAAAGTTTGCCTGATTTGGCCTTAGGAAGATCACTTGGTTGAGAAAAGGTGGAGGAATGTGTCCTGTTCTTACTACATAAAAGTTATGTATAGATCTGTGACAGGTATTAGAGAAAAAAGAATCCCCCAAGGCACTGAAATGTCAGAAGGTACCTTGTTCCTACCAGATTAACAAGCACCCTAAATATTTACATGGTCTGCTGATGGATCGAACTTGTAGTGGGAAAAGTGAGAGAAAATGGTCAAATACTAAGTAATGGGAGATTTCCTAAATGATTATGTTGTCATCATTCCTTGAACAAGCGATTCCACGTCTCTTCAGAGAAGCCATTTTGTGGACAAAAGGAAGAGTGTTTAGCTCTGTCCCTACATTAGTTGCATTATCATCATTTTTATCTGTGTTCACCCAGTTTATCAAATAGGTATTTTGCCAAATTAAGATTTATTTATCTGATAATGGAAGGGAAGTCAGAAAATAGTTGGTCTCAGGACTTTAAAAGATCACATGTTTTTAATCTGGGTTTTAAGAAGCGTTAGTGTTTTATACACTTCAGACACAGAAAAAAAGTAAAAATAAAACATTTTCTCTTTTAATAAAGAAAAATATAAAGTCCCCAAAATGTTATTTAAATGATTGCTTTTAATTTGCACATAGATGTGTTCTGTTTAAAAGTAGTAATAGTTTAGTAACGTAAACCATTGTGAAGAAAAAAGAAAAAGAAAATGGGAACTTTAAGGGCTAGAATGAGCTCTTCTTATTTTCCATTTAATATTTGGGTAGGAACAATTCTTGGAAATGATCACAAACACAATAATTACCGGCTTAACTCTAAATAGATTTGCAGTCAGTTCTTTTCATGTTATTTTTGGCATTCTGGCTGTAGCAGTGGCATGCCGTAATATTGATATAACTGGATTCTCAGAAAACAAGATTTGTGACAATTTGCTGCATTCTGCTCCAGAGACAATCTGAGCCTTTCAAAGTGAGGCTAAAAATGGCACACAAATCTTCCCCGTCACAGCTGCTTCTTGTTTAATGTTGTCAAATTTTCTTAATTAAAACTTAGATTTTATGTTTGGCTTTTTATTCCCTATAAAGCTCAAATCACACTTTGCCTCTTTAAGATATATGAGAGTCTGCAAAAAGCCAGATGAAGGCCCTAATTGTTTTATTGGAAGAGCTCATTTTTAAGTTTGCTTAATATTATTCATCTATATCCCACATTCCCACCCATGGGTTCCACAAAACACACTTTATCCTTTATCTGTTTAATATAGTCCTCCTCGGGTTTTTGTTTTTACACTAGCTCAAGTTGATTTCTTTACTCCCAATCCAAAGAGCTGTAACTAATGTGTTCCCAAATCCAAGCTGCTCATGCCAAAACACAAGAGACAAACATAAAAGCATGGGACACATTGGGAAAACCATGGTGGATCCAGCCCAAAGTGGGATGTGGCAGAAACAATCTAACTGTTGGCCACACCCATTTGCACCTACAACTAGGCTACATTTCTCTGCTTCTTTTGCCATTAGGCCAAACAAGTTGACTGAGCTCTAGCCAGTGGAATGTGAACAGCCGATATGCACCACTTCCCTCACACAACCCTCTAGACTTTTCCCCTTTCAGCAACTTGATGCAGAAGAGCTGAGTGACCTTAGCAGCTATGCATTGAAGATGGCAGAACCACAAGACTAGAAGAACCCGAGTTACTGAAAAACAACATGAAAAGCCACCCACAGGCAGGAACGCCTGGTTTGTGATAGATATTAGTGTTCCCTAACTCATACAGGGGAGGAGTGGGGAAAAGGATTTTATGCTGGATGAGCGCATTGTGGTTTTAGCATAGCTCCTCCTTTGGTCCTCCTTAGAGCTGAAAAAGGTTGTGGAATCGTCCCCATTTTACCGAGTGGTTAGGCAAAGTTCAGAGAAGTTGCTGAAGAGGGGGATTACGTGCCACTACCTAGCCAAGTTCAGTCTCAAATACAGACCTCCTGATTTTCAGAGACCATTTTTTTCCCCACTATGTTACACTGAATGCTAAAGATTCCTCTTTAAACTAAACCTATTAACAGCTAATCTCAATCTCAAGAACTATTAGATTATAATAATAAGAAGGCACCACTCCCTCAAGGAAACTGTGCCATCTCATTTATCTCATGCCCTGTGCTCAGCCAAGAACATGAGACAAAATAGGGCCTTCATATGTAACCGAAAAGGTTTGTAAAAACAAAAACAAAAACAAAAACAAAAAAAAAACATGGACGATAGACTAGTGTTTACCAGAGGGAAAGGGGGAGTAGATGAGGTAAAAGAGATCAAATATGTAGTGACAGAAATTTAACTATGGGAGATGAACATACAGTGTAAATCTATATATGTCTTACTGTTAAAATATACAGCTGAAACTTATCGGATTTCGTTAACCAATGTCACCATAACAAAAAGTCTTACCAAGAAACAAAAATTCAGGTATACATTACACAATTAAAGATCAGCAAAATAGATGTTGTGTACATGTTTCACATGTAGACCAAACAGAATAAGACCGTAATTCCATCAAGTGTAATTTATTTAAATAACAATTCAATTGCACATCATTGGTAAACCAGTTGCAGCAATATGAAAATATAGAATTCTGAAGATATCTGGCAACTTAAACATGCATCTAATAATGCAGAGTATTCTGTAATATTAAGAAATGAAAAATAAAGCATTGACTCCCAAGTTGGGATGATTTATTCACACTTAAAAATACAATTCCTAAGACGACATCTGTTTTCAAAATGTCTTAATCTTAAAAATAGGCTACGGAACTGTCATCTTCAGGATGAAAATTTAGATCTCATATCAGCATTAGCTTACAAATCATAGATGATATTAACACAAAATCAGCAAGCAAATACAGTTGGGAACACAGTTTTTATGTTAAAAATATGAGTTCACAGTTTTCTTCTTTCTTCTTGACTTATATTGATAAAATGCTTTTATAGCTACAATCAATTTCAGTTTCTGGTACCAGAGCCAATGCCTACTTGATCAGCAGATGGATGCTACTAACACATTCATCTTACATAGAACTCACACATCTTCAACTTCTAAAAATGTTTTGCTCTGTAAAACTGTGACCACTGGGAATGGAAAAGATAGGAGACTAAGTCTAAATGTAATGAGAGTGAGATACAATGCTGACAGTTTTTTCTAATAAAACATTGAATTATAAAGTAGATATAGGCAGCTTTGATGATTCAACAGGAAACCGTACATTAATTTATAAAACACTATGGCCTCTATTTTTGTTTAATTCAAATTAAAGTGAAAAATACACATTATTAAAGAATTTCAAAATCCCCCTACATGTCAGGGTCACATAGGGTTTTTAGGTGACTAGATCACAAGACAGTTTATTTTGTTTGTGTGTTTTAAGGCAAAGCAAAATTTCCCAAGGAAAGTACCTAGAAAATAAATTTGCTTTGGAAATAAATTACAGTAATAAAATAATACTTCTCACTTATTCAATATATATTTTGCCTTTACATATGATTGAGCAACTTGCATCAAAAAATTCAAGAGTTCTATGAACATTTTCAAATAAATATTTTAAAACACTAGTATATAATTGAGTCGGTATTCATTCAGGTGTCTGGATGTCAATAGTTAGCAAAGGGAAAAATAGTTAGAAAAATTTCCTCTAACATTTCATGAGAATGCAAATGTTGTTGAGAATTAATTTTTTTGGATAGCACATATCAGTAAAATACATGTGTTCTCCTTCTGCACATTTTAAACAGAATCCAATAGTACTGTTTTTCTTAAGCCATTAAATCAATAGCCTAAGATTTATAATGTTTAATCTCTCTTTTCTTGGAAATTATTATCTTAAAAAACAAATCACTGTACAGAAAGCAATTGCCTACTATGAAGAATAAAATCATTTCAGGAAAAAATGGAGTAATTAATGAAAAGTGTTTAAACTCATTTACTATACCCCAAATTGCCATCTGAACACTTGGCTCCAACAAAGATAAGGTTGAATTAAAATGTCTGCATGATTTCCAAAGCAGGGAGAGTCGTCCTTTCTAATTACGGAAGACCATCCAGCATTTTTAAATAATGTAATTCCTTAAAACTGAAATGATATGCAATATTTTTTAACACGTTCATTAAATCCAATTTCTCTGGCTATCAGTTCTGTTACATTGAGACAAACTTTTTTTTTCCCTAAGTGGGGCCAAACAGACTACCAATAATTAAAACCAATTTGCTAGAAAATATTAAGTAGCAATAAAACAAAATCTCCCATGGGGGATGCCAGCATCCTTTATAATCATCATTTAAATTATGTGGCTGAAAGAACTACTGGATTAACACACAAGGTATATTGTACATGAATATGCAAGTTTTACTTAATTAAGCTTGGTATTAAAGTATCTGGATTTTTCCTATTAAATATCCAATCTATAGGCAGCTGTAGGAATTCTTTATTAGTTAACTACAGTGAGGTGGCTGCTTTGATTTCTCCATGCAAAGTTGTGTTACAGTATTACTGTGCTGATGCATTTGTAAACTGGACAGAATGAGAGTTGAACTTTCTCTGAAGCTAGATCCATATGTCCATTTGGATGGATCAAGCTCAGAACCTGCTCAGTCTTCTCGATCTGCTAAACAGTCCTTGCATCATTTCTTTCTGTAGTTATGAATTTATAAACAGACAAGAATGGACTTCAGTATCACCAAGATCAGATAGTAACTGATGTGTTCTTTTCAAGTTCAACATTTCAAGTTCAACATTTTGAAGAAACTAAATCTAATAGAAGATCTATAAAAGACCAACTACCACAATAATAAGCAGGAACAGAGTTTCACAATAAGTAATCTGATACATAAAAAAAAATATGTAAATATTGGTCTGGGGGAGGAGAAACAATCTGGAAAAAATCCTGCACTCCTCTGAAACAATATAAAGCACTATTTAATATCTATAAGGTGTTTCTTACCTATTTATCTATCTATGTAGCTGATCAAGAATTATCTAAAGAGATTAAAAATATGTCAATTATATGTATGCATTTCACTTAGGTATCATTCACATTAAAAATATAATAGGCAGCAAAGGCATAAAATAGATAACTGCAAATAAACTATCTGCCAAACTATTCTGTAAGTGGATAACTAGTGCCTAAAAATCTGCAAGTATTAATATTGGCCTAGCTCAGTAAATATTGAAACATTAATAATATAAAAAAACTGAAAGGTCAAGGGACTGATTTTTTCAGAATAATGTTAATCTTAGAAAGTCTTATTTTAATCATAAAATCACTAACTTCTCAAAGGTGAGAGTCACTTCCTCTACAACTCTAACGGTTTGTGCTATTGCATCTGAAAAAGGAATGTCTCTAAAATCTTAAAAAATAAATTATCTTAGTACATAAGAAGCTCTGGGGGCTAGGGAAGGAATAGTGTTCAAATGTGCCCATGACCTTGATCGTCTGCACAACAAACACGATGAAATGAAAGTTTATGGACACTTAAACAGAAAAAGACAAACCGCACAGACATATATTTGAACCACAACTGACAATGCAACTGTGGTGACTAGGTGATCATAGTAGTCAGCAAGTAAAAGCCAGAACTTCAGACAGAACAGTATTAGGAGGCCTTTTTAAATAGAAGCAGCATGTATAAATGAGTGCTCCCTGACACTCAGCATCATTCCAACATGTGCCATTAGCCATGTTTCAAGTGCTCGATAGCCACATGGGGCCAGTGGCTACCATACTGGACAGAGAAGAACTGAAGGAGAAACAACACTGTTTAGAGATTAGGAAGGATGAGATAATTTCCCCAAGATCCATTCAAGGCCCTGAGAATCACAAAATTTTAGGGCATCAAAATTATTCATTTTAACTAAATGTGTTCAATTTTATGACACAAATATGAAGAGACTAACTAGGAACAAACAAAAATATGAAAAAAGCCAATGAAGAAGTAATGAGTAATTCCAGAAATTTTTCCGGTTGGTCACAAAGACCTTTTAAAAATTATTTTTATTGTCCAAAGGAAGAAATACATCTATTCAAAAACATCAACAGGCTCACTTTAAAGGAATGAAAGAGAACTGGAATCATAATGAGTATTAATAGCAGGGGCTATTAGAGCCTACCACAGAGTGACTATCTCTAAAAGTAACTTCAAAAGAAAAAACACTTTCCTTTGAAAGGCAGAACTCATCATCTTTACACACATCCCACTGATCTGAAGCCCTGTTCGAAGACGCAGAGAGAGTTTTACCCTCAAATTTAAACCATTAGCTTCCAGGCCAGATAGGAATGACAATAACACAGCTCTGCTAAACTACAACTTTGCAAAAGAGATGGTTACACTGTTGGATTGTTTCAATGATTTATAATCATCTTTGACACTGATTATCTGAACTTCACCTCCCTACAGCTTGGACCTGCTTGCAAAAGAGACAGAGGATCAATGGACTCCCCTTTTCCTATGTGACTTGGGAACTTCTAGTATCCAAGAGAAACAGAGATACATTAAAGTATGTCCATATAAGAGCTGATGTAGATAATCTTCCATTAATTGTCAAGCAGAAGTTATGCCTTCCTTGTCACTTGTCCTATAAAGCATAACTTCTACTTGAGTCTTAAATTTATACAGCAGCAATCAGAACTGTGGTTCTTCGTTTAAAAAAAAAAAAGGCAATTATACCAAGAACTACACAAATTGCACAAACTGTCAGACACATTGGCAGCCCAACCCTACCACATATGCCCCTCAAAACATTAGATAAAACATTGTCACTTCAGTACTTATTCTTCACAGAACACTCTGAATCACAAAATAACTCCAAAAATGCAATAAGAGCTGATGTCACAAGAAACTGGTGCCATTACAGTATCTTGAACATGGCAGGAAACATTAATATTTGTAGCATCAGTGATATTACAGTACTTAAAAATCCATTGGATAGATTATCCACATTACCAAGAAACTATAAAAAGAACACGAATAATAAAAACAAAATAAAAATATAGTAAAATTTTAAATAGATATGATTTTTATATATTTGTAACATAGAGTTAAAATGAAATAAAAAATAACCACTACTAGCTTAAATTGCTTTCATTTTATACCAGAAAGAGAATTTTTTACTGACTTGCAGCTTCCATTAAAAATTGTGGGTGTTTATACTTTTAAAAAATAATGCTACGAAAGCTTCTCTAAGGAGTTGATAAAGTTTTTTTCCAAGATATATAAAAAATCACTAAACATATTTTCCACTACTAATTGTAATGGCAGTTCATTTTATTTCCTCTTTTGTCTAGAACTAAAGTTATATCATTCACATTAATAGCACATATTGAGACCTTCCACCACACTATCTGAAGAGGTGGTATTCTGACTCAAATTGTATTAATCATCTTTTATTGAAAACATCCTCGGTACTGGTCAAGAATTAAAACCTTAAAGGAAATAAGACCAAATAACTGCTAGGTACAGGCTCATGTAGAAAGGAATAAATAGCAAGGAGCAAATTTGTAATCTGGGCTTGTAGTCAGTGCCAAATACATAAATTTAAAAGTGTCTGAATTTCCAAGCTTTTCTCATTTTCCATCAGAGACCACAGACTCAGCCAATACTTTTTGCCTTATATACTGTAATCAGTGTATAAAAACCATAACTGCTTAGCCTTTCACGGTTTACAAAAAGCTATGCAAATGCCTATGCATTATATAATTGAGCTCTCATGAGCACCAAGCTCTGTGGTGCTATCCTCATGGGGAAACTGAGCCCCAGAAAGGGTGAATGACTTGCTCTCTGTCAAGGAACTCATAACTAACGGAGATGGGCTGGTTCCTGACTCCCAATATGAGGCTGTTTCTGTTAAACTGCAGAGGCTTCCATGACGAGTTACTCTTCAAAATAGCAATAGAAATAAGACAAAACCGATTCATCGGTTCACTAATTGTTTTTCCTCATTCTAGATGCAAACTGGTCTTTAGCCTCAAAACATACATATTTGGGGGAGTAGGGGGTGTAGATAGTGGTGACTGCAAAATAAAAACACACTCTAAGTGGAAGAAGTTCAGATCAAACATTTTAACAGTTGTTTGCTGAAAACAAATACGCAAAACACAGATTGACAGTTACAAAACTGAAAGAGACCTTGACAATCATCTGTTCTTTTTCCATTTCACAGAAAAGGAAACACGGAGATGCAGAGAGCACGACTCCCACAAGAACACTCCGGTAACTGCTAACCAGTAGCAGGGCTGGGGCCACAGAAGTGGGCTCTCTTCCACTCAATGCCCGGATTGTACTTCCAAATTAAAGGACTAAACACAGTTCAGATATTTACAAGGAACCATCACAGTGCTAGAGAGATTAGAAAATTACATCTTATTCACCAACATCATGAGTGTAGAAATTGATATTTTACATGTCGTTTAAAGCAGCAGGAACTTTGATTCCTATAAGAAAAATAATCAATATATATATATTTTTAAGCTCTCATTGCTAAGGTTGAAGATAATTTCTAAAATATAACTTTTTTATTCCCTTTAGACACACAGATAGTTTTCTTATTATTATAACAGACTTAAGTATATTCAAAAACAGGATAGTCTCTCCAAAAGGTCACAACCTTTAACTTACATAAAAAATAAAAAAATAATAACAATATTTTACCATCTTTGCTAGATACAGGTCTTTACAAACTATTAAGTACATTATCCCATCCCTGTTTGCACCCACTGCCTCTCTTTTTCAGGAATCTTTAGAAGGTTCATAAGCTATCTTGGATGTAGGTGATTTTATTTTCCCCTCCAAAATGTAAATAGTAGGCAACAAAATATCTCTGAAGTTTAACTGACCAACAAACCTAAAAGTGGCTCAATTTCTAAGCCATTTGCTACATAAACAATATTAATTTCCACATTAAAAAAATAAATGATTTAATTAGGCTTTATGGTACCTGTGAGTCCTCTAAAAGTCTTCACTCTCCAATTCAAATCTAAGATGAAATTCTTTTTGGAGAGGCAAAATATAAGAATTTTCTAGATAGTATTTAACTTTATTTAATAGCGGAGAAACAGTTATGTAGAACAATAATAAACCACACAGATGATAGAAAATATTGACAATAAAATTAATAGTTTGCCTCTCATTCACAAGACCACTTTTCCTCTTTAATACGAGGTCTAATCTACAGCAGATGCCAATGTCGTGGAGCCTGAATTCCATCCTTCACATTCCGATCAGTCTGAGGGAGGTCTTTTCCAGAGGTGAAGAGCTGCCTGAATTCTGAAGTGCAGTCTAGACTCCATGGAGTAATCTTTGTAGTTGTTTCTAAAGACAATAATGATAAAATTATAATGTCAACATCCTTTGGTATACTAGAGCACCACCGCCATCCTCCCTTTCCTCTCATCTTCATTCCTCATTTGCTTTCAAACTTCAACATGCATAACAGTGGATCTTGTTAAAATGTAGATTCTGGTCCTGTGAGGAGAAGATGGCAGCAATATTCTTTATTTCTAGAAGCTGCCTCCTGAGTAGCAAAGTTCTATTTAATTACCAAGCCATTCAAAAACATAGCAAGAAGATTACAAGGAGGGCTTATCAAATTTTGTGAACTGTTCTTAAATAGTTGACCTCCTTTTCTAAACTGGAAATTTTAAGGCAGCCTCATATAAACAAGGTGAACATGATCAATCACTCTTCTCCAAAAGAAAAAAATAATTTTGAAACTTCCATGAAATAATAACCACAACATAGGCAGCAAAATGACTCAGTAACACCAAAATTACTTACTCCAATTTTCACAGGCAAAGATCAACAGTCTGGCCAACAATTATTGTGTGACAATGTCAGAAGAGGTGATAAAAATCCAGATTATTTAAAAACTTTACTTAGATCATTAATGTTGACTTCTCTTTGTTAGAATCAAGAATCAGCAAAATGAAATGGCTTCGACTTTGGCTGGACTCCTGATTTCTTCACACATTGCCTCGGGTGAGCTGTAACTTCCTTCTTCGCAGAGGCATTCATTTCTTTCTATAGCCCAGCATTTTATACGGGTCTAAGTACTATTTACTGGTAATCTTGAAAAGGGTGATTATTCATAAGCTAAATCAACATCTTACTAGAATTTACCAAAGGATGTAATTGAGTATTTTCTTAAATGTCTGGCGCTGATTTTGGCAACTGTGCAAAGCTCCTACTACATAAGGGAAACTGCAGACCGCTGACAGTCTTGAAATTATTAGGAAGTCTGTTTATGTTGGCATCATTGGTACTGGCTTGAGTTAGTGGTGACCTTCTGATCACTGCTGGTCTTGTCTTTTAGTAGTGAATTACTAGTCTTTTATTTTCATCATTATAAATTTGTCTTAGTGTGTATTGCTTAGGTACCACTAAATATGTCCAAATAATGAATACTTGGAACAACAGTATTTATAGTCCCTAATTTTCTATGAGCTACACTTGATGATATATACGCGTCAGTTGAAATATGTCATTATCCTTAAAAGTAACTTGCTCTCATTTAAAAAAATAAAAGGAAGAGAGAAGAAGAAGAAAGAGGAGGAGGAAGAAGAAGAAAGAGGAGGAGGAAGAGGAGGAAGAAGTGGCTTTCTTGGCTCCACCATGCCCCTGAAGCTTCTGCCCCATTACTATGTTTTATTCATAGCAAAACATCCTGAAAGAGTTGCCTGAAGTAGCTCACTCTACTTTTCCACCTCACTTGTCAAAGTTGCCAATAATCTTCATGCTGCCAGGTTTACCTCTCTATTCTCACCTTGCTTGACCTCTCAGCAACTATCTTTACAACTGACCACTCTCTTCTTTTTGAAAAACATTGTTTACTTGGCTTGCTTTCCTGGATGTCTTCCCAACTTTGCTGGCCACTTCTTCTTAATCTTATTGCTTAATCTCTAAAATAGAGATTTAAGTATACCTCAAGGCTCTGTGCTAGGCCTCTTTCGCTATCTATATAAGTTCCCCAAAATGACCTCATCAAGTATCCCGGCTTTAAATATCACTGTCTCTGTGCTGGTGACTTTGAAATATCTACATTAGACCTTTACTTTTTCACTAAACGCCATGCTTCTATATGTGACTGTCAACTCGCTATATCCATGTGGATACCTAATAGATATCTCAAAATATCATGGTCTAAATAGAAGTGTTTTTTTCTCTCCCTAAACCTGCTCTTCTAAGTATTTCCCATCTCAGTAAAAAAGCATCATTATCGATATAGTGGCTCAACACTCTAGTCTAGAGGTTACCTGGCTTCAGCCAGTAATGTTTCCCACACAGTTTCTGCTGAATGATCTCGGGACTGGTTTTAATTACACAAATCTCAACTACACTAACACCTCAAGGAAACCTTCCAGAATCAACTCAATCTAAAGTAACACTCAGGTACTCTGCATTGTATTATAAATCTCAGCAAAGCACATTCCACTGCTATATTTCTTACTTGTTTGTTTGTTTAACACCTCCCTCCAACTAAGAGAGCAGAAACAAGAGCCATTGTCCAGCAGAAATGATAAATTGCTTTGAAATTACACAGCAGACAGAAAAAAGAGAGTCAGGGGAAGATTTAAAGGGCTTCTTCAAATCAGTGGGTCTCCAAGGAAATGAGAAATATGGTTGAATATACCAAGATTCAGCAAATTATGATCAAAATTATGGCTAATTTTGAGTAGTTGCAATGAAGACCTTATACTGTAAAGCCAAAAATACTTACTATCTGGCCCTTTACAGAAAGTTTGCCAACTCTCGAAAGAGAAGAGATTAGGTTAGATATCTGTCATATGGAAGCCCACAATCAAAACATCTGTAAATAGTCACAGAGTCAGGCATTCAGAAGGTTGGAAACAGCATGATTACAGCAAAAGCCATGAGTATCAACTAAGCATAAACTAGGAAAGGAAATATTATTACTAACTTTCATTAATGTTTTACTTTTAAGCATACATATAATATCACTGCCATTTTTATAATGGTATTGACGTTCCAGACTCCACAGCAATCAAGGAAACGCTGCCATCATCACTTACCTTGCAGTTTCTAGGGCCTTTATGGCCTTGTCAATTTCCCCTTGGCTTTTGTACAAAAATGCCAACTCAAACAGAGTAAATGGCACTAGGTAGTGGTCAAACTTCAGCAGCTTTTCACTAAAAGAGTGAATGAAAGCAATTAAGTCTTAACAAGAAACTTTCATTCTTTTACAATATGCGTATTTTCCCCATCCCTCAGAAAACAGGTGCAGCACTAAGCTGTCTGTACATAGTCAAAAAAATCTAATAGACTACAGCAGTAAATAGGATGCTTTTAATGTATTAATCTCTATTTTATTCCTTAATCTAGATCCAGCACTGAGGATTGCTTACTGCCCTCTAGATAGACATGCAGAACTTCAAAGAATAACCCTAGAAAGGACAAGATCTTCCCCCTGAACGGGAAAGGACTCCATTTAGAAATAAGAATGCTGTATTATTTTTTACTAAGGTTTGCTTCGCTTTCTATTGTTAAGTCTTATAATACTAAAACATGTCAGTAAAGAAGTAGTCAATGCTTGTTTTCAGCAATATTATGAAAAATCTCTGACAAAACATCTAGAAGCTCTGAAAAAGATATGAACAACACATTTTCAAATGCATAGCTCAGCTCACAGAACATAAGAAAAATTCTCAAACTGAAAACAAAACCAAACCAGAACTCTGAGTGTGTGGATGATGCCAAAGCAGTCCTGGGGTCTGCTTCAGTCTGAATCAACCAGGGCTTTGTGTCTCAATGTCCATGCAGGAGGTAAGGCCTTGGGCCCACACAGGACAGGGAGCCAGGACTGAGACCTCTACATAATCGGGGGCCCTTGAAAGGCTACTCCATCAGAGAAAGGGCAGATTAGAAAAAACCCAATCATTGCCATAGGAGGAAAACACAGGCAGTTGGCTCCTTGGCCTGTGCCTAGGTGGGAAGTAAAAGCGCATTCCTTGGGAAATTAATAACTCAAAGGCCTGCCCTCACATTAATTTGCAATTCAAATTTACATTGCCCAAAGGATCCAAGAACCTCTAAGCAATGAAATTAACATGAATGTGGGCCTAGGCTGGAAAAGTCTTTGGGGCACCTGACAGAAAGAAAAGTAAAATGACTTTAGAAAGACTTTCTCAATCCTAGCCTCATAGGAGTCTCAAGATAAAATGCCAGTGAAGAAAAACTCATAATCGAAAATTATAAAACACATGAGCAAACAATTCACTATTGTTAAAACACAACAAATAGCATGGACAATCCTTTTAATCATCCCTTCGATTCTTATAAAAACAGCAATAAAATAGAACTCAGTGGATATTTCTTTAACATGTTTACTTAAAAAAGTATATAACTTATTTGGAAAATAGACACAGTCTCTTTTCTCTTCTTGTAAGGACATCAGTCCTAAATTCTCATAAAATGTTATCAAAAAGAGGATAAGTGGCCATGGGTGGAAAGGTACATGATACAGAACAGAGGACATCAACTGGCAGTCTGGGGCTATGATCTATTAGGCTTACAGTATTTTCAAAAAATTTAAGCCAATATTTAAAATTCAGGAGGCTTTAAATAAAATCCAGATCCCAGGCTTTTCATGAAAAATTGTAGGGATTGTTGCTACTAGGCCTATACGTATAGAGCAATAACCAATTAGAGCTAAGGAGTGGCTGCATTTTTTAAAGAGAACACATAATCTCCTGTATCTACAGTGCCTGTCAATCCCTAGTTCTGCCATCACTCAGTAAGGTTACTTGTCTGGCCCCTGTAGATATCTGCATTTATGACTCCAGACAAAAAGAGAAAAAAAGCCAGACATTAGAACCTTGATTCAACTCTCTTGTTTCATAAAGGAGCAGGACATCATCATCAATGCTATTAGGAAAAAAACAAAACCAACAAACTCAAGCATATACAGAAGAAACGCCCTTTGCCAAAGGAGAAGCATTTATAGCATCCATCACATGTCTTTCCTCCCTGTCAAATGATTATCTCAATGACAGCAAGTCCCTTTACTCAACTCTGAATCCCTAGGATCCAGCAAGTGTCTAGCACATAGTGGGTGCTCAAATATCTGTGGAATAAATATATGAAAAAGTAAATACAGGAATCAAAAAAGCATCAGAGGTTCAGTACATCGCCGCTAGAGTTTAAATGGACGCCTGCTAGTTTGGCCATAAATTTAGTTTTTATGTGTCACCTTTAAACACCAAGTGGAAAAGCACAAAGCCATGTTCCACTTAGATTATAATTTTGCTCTCAAAGAACATGGAAAACACTACTGGATTCTCTTTCTGGTGACACCAAGTAAAAAGTCAGCAGCAAGAGATAAAAGCATCATTTTCCCCAGAAGCCGCAATTTGCAGTCAGGTTAGTTTCCTTGTTTGTTTTTACCTTTGGATAACATGATTGAAACACAATTCTGCTTGCAAGGGCCGCTGTAAGTTCTTCAGGCAGCATCCTTTCAGCAGCTTCACTAAGCACTCGTCATCTACTGAGTAGTCGCTGAAGTCTTAAAGCAAAACAAAAATCACACACAAAAAGAAAAATGCTGTCAAAAATCCTAATTAAGAGGAAGAACTAATAATAGCTACAAGGTTTCAGAGGGATCATTTAAAAATAAGGAAAATGTTTTTTTAGTATTTGCCCTCACTAAATAAAACACAATGAAATTATTTTAAATTAAAGGAATACTGAATTTACTACATTAGTTTAGTACACTATTTTATGAAGGGGTTCACTCTGTCCACTTAAAAATTTTTTTCAGGTGCTCATATTCTGAGTTATGTGACCTTAGAACAGTTGAAAATTTGAACTCTAAATAAAATAAGAGCTTTATTAATTCTATAAAAAGTAAAGCCATGAGGAGCAAGAAAGCTGACTCCTCCTGTGGTTCTGGCTTCTAATTGTGTTGGCTCATGTGGGTGAGGATAACACTTCCATATGGAGAAGCAGATGGCCTTCTACCCATTAAAAATTCAGGAAGCAGAATACCCTCTTCAGATCATTATGTTTATAACTTACCAGTTCTCCCAGGCTATGTTCTTCTGGGGGGAAATCAGGTCATAAAATTAGATGCCATGGTTCTGAAGTACATGCAAGTTACCTAAAATCTTCACACACTTCTAACTGCTTGAAGCTAATGCAAAGGTTTTTCTTTCACCATTTTTTTCCCTTTAGAAAATGACTCTGCCTCCTACAGCCCAAGGCTGCAGAATATTAAACAGAAGGAACCATATTATGTGTGACATCTATCTAACAAAGGTAGCTGTTTCACATCTACCACTTTCGAATTTGGGGGATTTTGCAAGTTAGGTGCAACTAAGAAGTCATTCCAAGACAGAATGATAATTCATACATTTCAGGCTGTGACAACATGGGGTGGGGGTGCAGTAAACCAAACTAATGAGGCCCTGGGAGCCCCTCATGTTAAAATCCTCCTGTTTTCAGAACAAACCTCAGAAATCACCATTAACACATGCTGCTTTTTAGTTAGTAAACTGCTCGTCTGTGGGAGGTTAACGATGCTGCTTAACCAAACAGAAGGGGGTCACTTTACTTCTAGGTGCTAAAAACAGCTGATATTCACCTCTCCTTTCCAAGCTCTTATAGATCATTCACCAAGAAAATAACAGATACCAATATCACATTACCTTTCCTATTACTTAAGGGCTATTTTTCCACAGGGAAAAAAAAAAGTATTCATGCTCCTAATCATGGATGCTTTTTGAAATATACATTCAAGAAGCAATATCTTTCCAGGCCTAGAAACAAACCCTTACGGGCCATGCTAGATGCAGATTTTTAGTATGCATTTTATTGAGCATTTTCTGATAGTTTGTGTTACCACAAAATTCTGGTGCTCAGTCAGTGAGGATTTTGCTGAAGACCAGGCATAACGCCACGGAAAGCTGAAGTACCAGTAAAGCCACACTTAGTTTTTATTTATACCATGAGAAGGGGCTATAAAAATGAGTTTAGAAACACAACATTCCTCCAAAAACCTTAGAAGTCAAAACCATTATTTCCTCAAACCACAGAGCACTATTTTTCAGATGATTCTTTTAAAACATACTGTTTATCATGATTCTCCAACTCATGGGTGAGTTCATGGATGAACATTTCAACAGTTTCCATTTTACATTCCAAGACAATTACATGATAATGCTGCCAAAGCACATTTTCATCACAAAAGATCTGCACTTAATAATAAAACAGAGAGTAGGCTGAGGAAAAAGTCTAGTTAAAATGCACCAAGGGAAAAATTTGAAAATATATTTAGAAAGTAAAAAGCCATAAAGTAAATAACACTTTCCCTTGTATGTAACTGATTATATTTGCTATACATTTTCACCAAGCAAATTAACCACAACGAATAGTCAAATAAGAGCTACTGTGCTAATTTCTGGCTACATGTTTAAAATTTAGTTAATTTCAAATGAAACACTAATAGAATTAATAGCAAACACCAACTCTAGGTGTATTACACCAAGTATTCTCTCTTTAACAGTATTCCTCCTCCCTTTGTATCCATGACCAGCCTGTCAGAACTATGGCACTGTCAGAGTAGAATGCCAATTGTACTCTCTCCCATCTTTTATTTTAGGGACACTTGCCAAGGTAGAAGCAAAAGCACATTCCTACTAGTGGAGTGGGACGTTAGGGTGGAGATGAAGTCACCTCAGGTTTACAATTACACTCCATTTTTCAATTTTGGATTTTTTTCCCTTACTCTGAAGGACAGGAACTTAATTACTCAAAGGTCATAACAGCCATGGCGGGAGGGGTGGGTAGGAGGCACATGTCGAGAAACATTCCTGCATAAAACAATGGACCTAGACGAGATCATCATAAATTTCACGTGTAATATCTGACGAAGGCGATCTTCAGAAAAGAAACCAGTTTTTTTTTTTGTTTTTCCCAGGGGAAGACAAAGACAATTTTAGGAAGTATGGTATGTTTGAACTTCCCTGGCCCTGCTTAAATATCTCTTAAGCCTATATCATCTCAGTATGTCATTAAAAAAGGAAGGAAGGGACAGACCAGTGTCTTGGTTTCCTAAACCTCTATTACATTTTACATGCATAGTCTGATACATATATTACTTCTTTAATTTTTCCCCCTAACCAACGAGGGGCAAAATAAACTTAGGAGTGCAGAGCCTGCTCAAATAGAGAAAACCCAATGGTCCTTTAAGACTTCTTACTACACAAAGGCCCTGCTCTCTGGGAGTGTATAGTAGTCTACACTAAAAGGACGGACATTCAAACATCGGAATTTATTCTACTGAACCCAAACCCTTATCTTTGTAGAAAAACAGAAGCAGCAAGCTGGCCTACTTTTCTGGGAGAAAAAAATACCCTACAAATGCTTTCACAAAATAAAAAGAGGTTTTCCTTTACCTCCCAAGTTTTCACATATCCATTTATTTAAAAAAACCTTCATTTTCCCATTTAGTTTGCAAATATGTGGGATTTAATCATAGATAATCCCCTTAATAGTAGGAACACTATTTCCCTGCCTATCATAATTCTATGTATAGCAGGGAAATCTAAGAGTGTTCAAATGAGCAAATTAATGAAAAGTGGCCAAATCAGTTGAACAAAAATGAATACTAATAAATTTGTTCAAAAGCGCAAATGGATTTTACAGAAGTGCATTTTGTGAAATTGCATTTCTAAGGTGAACTTGCACAGAGTTTCATTTAAATTCAAAATGATTTGACTCTTTGTTGATTTTCCACTCAAAACAAAATGAAATATTTTTCCTTTTTGAAAGTACTTCACATTAAAGGTATGAGATAAAGATTACCTCAAAACCATTAGGACAACTACTACCAAAATAAAAACAAAACTAGAAGAAAAAAAAAAAAACACAAACTCCAAAAAACAGAAAATAACAAGTGTTGGCAAGGATGTAGAAAAATTGGAACCCTTGCGCTCTGTTGGTGGGAACATAAAATGGTGTAGTTGTTATGGAAAACAGTAGGTCATTCCTCAAAAAATGAAAAAGAGAAGTGACCCAGTAATTCCACTTTTGGCTATATAGGTAAAAGAACTGACAGCAGGGTCTCAAAAAATATTTGCATGCCCATATTCTTAGAAGCATTATTCGCAATAGCCAAAAGGTGGAAGCATTCTAAGTATGCATCAATGGACGAATAGATAAACAAAATGTGGTATATAATATAATGGAATATTATGTAGCCTTAAAAAGGAAGGAAATTCTGACATGCTACAACATAGACATATCTTGAGCACATGATGCGAAGTGAAATAAACCAGTCTCAAGACAAATATTATATGATTCCACTTACATGAAGTTTCTGGAGCAGTGGAATTCATAGTAACAAAAAGTAGAATGGTGGTTGCCAGGGGCTGGAGGTAGGGAGAAATGAGAAGTTGCTCTATAATGGGTATGAAAAAGCTCTGGAGACTGGTTGCACAACCATGTTAATATACTTAATATTACTAAACTGTACAATTAAAAATGGTTAAAATGGTAAATTTTGTTATGTGCATTTTACTACAAAAAAATTAAAAATTAAAAAGATGTAATTGAAAAAAATATAAGCATAACTCTATGCTAATAGAAACTATATAGACAATGTAAGTGATATAACTTCTAGAATAACACACAAAGAAAGTCTGATATGTCCATATATTGACTCTGTAGTCTGTACTTATACATACACTCCTTTGGTTGTCCGCATAATAGTAAATACTTTGGCCTTTTTTTTTGATCCCAGTTTCTTGAGACTTCTCACCCGCTTGTTCCCCTGGAGCCCAGAAATCAAAGGGAATCATCAGTCTGTGAAGATGAATACCTCAATATTTGCCTTCTCTACCTAAGCTCCAGTTCGTTAGAGACTGAAGTGTTATAACTTTTCTGGGGAAGGGAAGGGAAGGGAAAAAGAAGAAAAAAGGAACAATGGTTCTTTTATAAAAATGTTGCCTTGAATTTGGGGAAGTGACATTATAGTAGTCCTCTCTTATCTGCAGGGGATAAATGCCAAGACCTCAGTGGATGCTTGAAACTGTACCCTGTATACACTGTTTTTTCCTGTATATACATACCTGTGATAAGATTAATTTATAAATCAGGTATAGTAACAGATTAACAATAACTAATAAAATAGAAGTGTTATAATAATATACTGTAATAAAAATTATGTGAATGTGGCCTCTCTCTAAATATTTTATTGTACCATAGTCACCTTTCTTCTTGCGATGATGTGAGATACAATGCCTACATGATGAGATGAAGTGAGGTGGATATACTAGACAAAGGAATTCACATCCTGGGAAGGATGGAGCAGAATAGTGTATGATTTCATCATGCTATTCGGAAAACAGCATACAACTTAAAACCTATGTATTCTTTATTTCTGGAATTTTCCACTTAATATTTTCAGACCGTAGTTGCCCGCAGGTAACTGAAACAGCAGAAAGCAAAATCAAAGATATGGGGGGATTATGTCACTCACCCTCCATCAATGATGAGCTTTGTGTGAGGCTGTTTTTCAATAATGGAGCAGAATATTCCATTCACCTGGTCTCCCTGTGACCACCAGTTTGTATTTGCAAGATGTCTAATAAGGGGAGGGTCTGTGGCTTCAATACAGCATTGTTCTTTGTTCTACTGATTCTTTAACTATCCAGCCTGAAACCTTGGCTTTATTAGCAGATAAGTCCACTGATTCAGCTTTCATTCTTTAATATTCCTTTTCTTGATTGATACGAGTCTAAAGCTAGAATTATTTTAAATATGGAAAGCAGCCTAAATGCCCAACAATACTGAAGAGGTTGATTAAATTATAATAAATTAGCTCTAATGGAGTGCTGTGAAGCTTTTAAAATTATTGCAAGGGCTATTTAGCAACAATTAAAAAGTGTATGGTAAAAATAGTAGTACCATATGATCCAGCAATTCCACTCTGAGTATCTATCCCCAAAAAGGAAAACACTCAATCAAAAAGACATATGTATCCCATGTTCATTGGAGCATTATTTATAATAGCCAAGTTACGGAAATAACCTAAGTGTCCATCAATGGATAAAGAAAATATCACACGCGCACACATGCGCGTGCACACACACGAATATTATTCGGCCATGAAAAAGAATTAAATCTTGCCATATAACAACATAGATGGACCTTGATAGTATTACGCTAAATGAAATCAGATAAAGACAAATACTGTACGATCTCGCTTATATGTAGAATCTTAAGCAGAAAAAAAATATCCATGTTCAGTAGATACACAGAACAGATTGGGGTGGGGGCGCAAAGTGGGTGAAGGGCGTCAAAAGGTACAAACTTCCAGTTAAAAAATAAACAAGTCATGGGGATGTAATGTATAGCATGATGTCTATACTACAGTAGTTAATACTACTGTATTGCAAATTTAAAAGTTGCTAAGAGTAAATCTTAAAAGGTCTCATCAAAAGAAAAACATTTTTGTAACTAAGGATGATGACAGATGTTAACTAGATTTACTGTGGTGATCGTTTTGCAATGTATACAAATATTGAACAATTATGTTAAAGATAATATATAGTACTGTAACAAATATAGTTTTGTATGTCAATTATACCTCAATTTAAAAAAAAGTGTATGATGTATTAAACAAAGAAAAACTAGGTTAATATATGTCCAGATACACTGTGATTGTAACTATAAACATAAGGCTAGGATGGATTACCTAAAAATGGTAAATTAATTGTGTTGGAGCAAAAATATGAGTGACTTTTTTTTTTTACCTACACCTATCAACTTTAATTTTTTAAAATTAAATTTTGTAAAGAGAAATTCCATTAAACATTCCCACCTCATACTGTAGCTCCAAGTACAAAAATGACCCAAGTGAGGTCTTCTCCCTGGAGGCCTATTCACTAAATTAATCCCTCATGGCAGGGAGTATACTGAGTATGGAGCCAGCACTCCCTCAGTGCCCATCTTTTTCCAGTTTAAGAAAAACGAGTTAACTGTTATAATTTTCCCTGGCTCTCCCTGAATTTCTACGCCCTTTACCATGTTTGTCACCACAGAAGTTTTCATTTAACTTATGTGGTTAGAACATTACAGAGAATAAGACCAGTATTTTGGGATGTTACCTAACTGATTTAAGGGTTGATAAGAAATAGGACAAAGCTATCATTTATGGCATGGTTTATCAAAAAAAGAAAGCTTCTATTTCAGATACAGAATTAGAAAACGTCAGAACAAGAAAAATTTGGATGTCACCTGGTCCAACACCATTCCCATTTTAAAAGAAACCTGAAGCTCAGAGTGATGGGGTATGTTTCGCTGAGTCTCACAGCTGCAGAGCTGGGACTATAAGCCCAGGTGGCCTGATTTGCCATCTACTTACGAGCCAGTTGCTTCCAGGAAATGTAGCTTCCAATAAACTAGAAAGGGGCCTCTAGCACAACCAAAAGTACTGAGTAAAAAAAATTAAATTGTGATAACATTTCAACTTAAAAACAATTCTCTGTGTCTGCAAAAACATGACAGTCACTAAAGAGCAAAAGGAGGCATGGAAAGAGTCACAAACTAAATCAGAAGCACACCCTTGCCTTGTGCTGTTCTAATTCAACTGCCTTCTTCCCTTCATCTTCTTTTGGTAACAGATTTATTAAGATGTAATTCACAAACCATACAATTCACCCATGTAACATATACAATTTGTTGGTTTTGAGTATATTACAAATTTGTACAACCATTAACATAACCAATCTTATAACATTTTCGCCACCCCAAGAAAGAAATGCCATACCCTTTAGCTATCACTCCCTGCTGCCTTGTCTAACTCTCCCATCCCTAGGCAACCACTAATCTACTCTGTCTTTATAGATTTACCTAGTATCAATATTTCATATAAATGGAATCACATTATATATCGTATTATACAACTGGCTTCTTTCACTTAGCTTAATGTCTCCAAGGTTCATCCATGTTTACAGCATGTGTCATTCCTCCCTTCATCTTGATTGCAATCACCCAGACAGCGGCAGCTCAAGCTCTTTAGTCCTCATAATGCACACAAATTAACACGGGCAGATGTGTGCAGGGATAGGAGAGGAGAGTGATAATGGTAATGATTTGTAGGCTTTTTTACTTTTCATACTTACTTCCATTTTGTACAGTTGCCTCAGCCTTTTCAATAGTTAACAACAGATTTTCAGAAAGGTCTTTTCTTTTGCACACTACTGGAAAACCATTCCAGATGTACATCATCTCCTAATGAGGAAGAATAAAAAACCATTTGCAATTATGTGAGGTAATTCGATGTTCTTTACAATAACAAGGCAACAAAACTATGTATGTGTGTTCTCTCTTGGTTGCTAGGGATCTCAAGACAACATTTAGAGATCATTTTCCTTGGTTTTCCTCATTAGGAGTTTAGTGATACAATTTCCTCTTTTCTCATTTTATTATACGCCTTTTGCCTTTTATACTGTGAAGTAATTCAATATTTATAGTGTATTTTTACTGAAAAATTAATTTAGTCATTCATTTAACAAATATTTACTAAGGACCTACTGGTATTCAATCCTTTTGTAAGATAATAAATTACAGTACAGAAATATACAATATACTATTTTAAACTGATACCATGAACAATTCTATTAAATATAAATTTTTATTTTTAAGTAAAGAAAAACATTTAAAAATATCTGCCAATTGTTTACATAAGTTGTTTCCAAGGACATAACTGGAAATGAACATAGAAACTATCTGTCTGGGCTCGGATTCTTTCATACCACTAAAACATGTGATAGTCCAGTAATGCAATCCAATATGCAGAAAATGCACTCATTTAAAGGCCATATGGCTGAATGACAGCCCCTGAAAATGTAAACTAATGATTTCTCATTGCAAATGATATTTAATAGGTTAACAGATGAGAATTGGGGGTGGGGAGGCAAAAAGCAAATGTGCTTTTGCTTGAAAATATTCTTCTAATTTTCCTCAGAGCACAATTCATATTTTGAACAGTACAAAATAAGCAGGGTAATCAGTATCTTCTTAGAAATGAAATTTAAAATATGATAAAGATATTGTCTGAACAGCCTCTTACAGGAAAGCAGAAATGAGAAAAATGCATTCGAGGAGAGTGGCAACAGTATCTCTGAGACTTTATGGCACTGAAAACTAAGGTCACCGGTCTACCTTTTGTTTTATATCCAACAGTTTCTTGTTGGTAATAGTATTAACAGCTCAATTCAATAAGTAATAGAATTTTTATTTTATGATCTTTCTTAAATATTTTTATTGATGGAATATTTTATCAGAAGATGGCAAGCTCATATCAGAGATTTAATGAAAAAAATTCCTAGTTGCTACTAATTCAAGCCAATTCTACACCCTAAGATCTATAAAAATAAGTGCAGTGAGTTAACTTTCCTTAAGATCCTTAATAACCACAGCAGGATGTAGCAAGCATCTAGGTTCTAGAGTAGAGAAAGCACTGTGATGTTCTAGATGATTTTCAAAAAAGTTCTGTGACACAGCAAGAAAAAATTTCCAAGCACAAATCACTAATAAAAATGAATCAGGAATGGAGCTAAAAGCTCCATTGGTAAAACAGCAGCAGGCTCCCACATTAGCTGGGAAAGAGGGATATTTGGTCATTTTTGTGATTTGCACGGTGTTCTTGTTTTCATCTGTGCTCAGATATGATTACCGAGTGATCACGTTTTGTGTATCACAGGCACAGAATAACCTGTTCTGATGGTGGTGTTCCCTGAGATTGTTTATCTGGAGAGAACACCTGGACCTAAGGACAAGGTGCAGGCCAGTTCTTATCTGTCACCTGGTAGGGGCTGCAGTTTTCTTTCTCACAGGATATATAAAATATAAAAAGCTCTTATAATTTAATGATCAGATAATAAACAACCAAATGAAAAATTCAGGAAAGTATATAAACAATTCACACACACACAAAAATGAATAAGCACATAAAAAGATGCTCAACTGCATCAATAGGGAAATGCAAATTAAAACAGTAAAATACTGTTGGTAGAAATTTAAATTGGTACAGCTTTTTTGGAGGGCAACTTGGCAGTGTCAAAATATTAAATGCATATACCCTACAAGCAGGAATTACATTTCTAGAAAGCTTTCCCAGAGAATTACAAAAAGAGGAATATAAAAGAATATGCATTGTAGCATGTTATAACAGTAAAAATGAGAAACAACTGACTAACTTTCAAAGGAGAACAATTGAATAAACTCTAAAATATCAAAAAAAAAACAAAATCAAGAAACCCCAGAAGTGGGCTGAAGACATCAGCTGGCACTAAATGGCTTTCCGGTGCTATCTGACTGCCTACACGAATCTAAAGTCCCAAAGAGCCACAGTAATTTAATACACTCAGTATTTTTTAAAGAAGTGTTCATTAAGAAAATTTAAGTTGAAATTACGCTTTTTATGAAGTCTAGTCTGAATGCCCTAACGATTAATAATGTGAACTCCAGCACTGTACTGTTGGATACAGCAGCCACCAGCCACTTAGGGCTCTCCAGCACTGGAAATATGGCTAGTCCAAACTGAGATGTGCTCTAACAGTAAAATACACATCAGATTTCAAAGAATTAGTATAATATAAAAGAACGTGAATTATCTCATTAAGTTTTTACTGACCACATGTTCAAACAACAATATTCTGCATATATTGGGTTAAACAAAAAATATTCTTAAAATTATTTTCATGTTTCCTTTTTAATCTTTTACCTTTTCATTTTTAATGTGGCTGCCAGAAAAGGTAAAATTACATATGAGGCTTGTATTATAATTCAACTCAACTTCACCTAAATCAACTCACCTCTCTTTGCTTCAATTTCATTATCTGTAAAATGGGACTACAAAGAAAAACTATCTTCATAGAGTTACAGTAGGAAATAAATAATATATTTTTTAAAATAGCCTTTATCATATTGCCTAGAACATACCAGCTAGTCAAAAAGCATCAGCTATAATTTTTATTATTTATTATTTATATAATTTATGAATGTTCACCTTACAGACACAAGATGATTTTTTTTCGATGATTTTTAATTGAGCAAACTTCACCACAAAAGTTAGGTGTGCTCCCTGCTGCTATGAATAGACAATTTATTTCTAGAATTCAAACGGTGAATTAAATATAAGCAAACACACAAAAAAAGAAAGAAAGGAACATACCAGGGCAGGCAAGACAAGCTTCACGGGAGCAGGCAACGAGGGGGAGTAACGTCGAGATTTCCTCACAGCAAACTTCTCAGTAGGAATAGATTTCCCAGCAATCCTCTGCTTCAAGCTATCTACCTGTCTGTGAAGAGCAGAGCCCCCGGTGAAAGGTCATTAGAGCACAGACACTTTGCACCTGTGGTGTTCACGCTTCATTCTCTAGATGAGCAGCATCAGCATCATCTGGAAACCTGTTCAAATGCAAATTTTCATGCTCCACCCCAAACCTAATGAATCAGCACCTCCAGGATTGGACCCAGCAATCTGGATTTTAATGAGTCCACCAGGTGATTCTGATGCATACTCAAGTTTGAGAACTACTGATTGACACATATTTCCTTCTAGTTAACTTAGCCAATGTCTTAATCTATCAAACAGGAAATCTAGATATAAAATTGGCAATTTCCGTAAGTAAGCAGGAAAAGTGCGAAGTATTTACTTACATTATGGAGAGAGGTAAGAGAGTATACTGGTACATACATTTCCTATTCCTATTGCCAAGTATGACACAGATCTATAAAACAATGTGGCTCAAAAGATAGCTGTCAATTAATATATAATTTGAGAAAATATTTCCCAAGGATAGGTGATTTTGAAAATAATCAGCTAAGGACAGGCACCATGTTTACAAACTTCCTCTCAAAATTCTAAGGAATTCTAATTATAAAATTCACAAGCACATAAAAATGAGAGTAGGATGAGACTACGTGTTCTAAGAGACTATATGTTTCTTAAACAAAAATTTGTAAATGCATCAAACGAGTTGCAGAGAAAGAATTCAGGAAAATATCCAATTACATCACTGAAAGAAAGAGTAAGATGAAACAAGAGAAAAAATATTCCAATAGGAGGACAAGATTGTGTTAGGTCATTTCTGGGTCCATTTGGGGATACGGGTTTTAAACCAGAATGCCCATGATTTGATGTTCATTAACATGAGAGGAAGAGGCAGTGGAAATGTGAGATGGATGTTGAGGGGAGGAGTCAGAAATATGCATTGGACGCGAAACCTCATGGTTTAATGTTCACAGAATATGTATGAGGAAAACATTCATTTTGAGGACTCTCTTGTCATTATCCCAACAAATGAGACACTATCAAATAGCAGACCTCAAGTTTTCTCTTAAAAATAAGATTGGTTACATGTTTCAAATAAATTGTTTTGGTATGGAAAAAATTATTCTGAAGTGGAGGAAATAGAAGATTTAAAAGATTTCAATGTATCTTAGTATTCCATTACATTCCATTAGTTGTTTGTATGAAATGAGAAAATGCATTTTACCAGTAAGAGGTAGCATTTATTGTACCATGGCTTCTACTGAAGTTAATTCTAGTTAGCAAACATGGTCCTGTTTTTTTAAAAAAGAACTTTTATTAAAAAAGAGATGAAAAAATGGTCCTGGGTCATACTTTCAAATTTGTTCTGACAACTCTGAGGGTTGAGCTAAAATATTTTCTCTCATAATATGACCATACAATTTAATATTCCATTTAAATGGTTTTGTCATAAGTTATGTTTGAAGAATGCAGTGGAGTTTCTCCGTTCCTTAACTCCCTCATCTCAGTGGTCATCTCCTCCTTTCTACCACAGCCACCTGCCCCTTAATCACCTGTAACTTTTCTACCTCAGAACACAAATTTAAGCACACTACCCACCCTTTGAACACCATTCTCATTCTAACTTGGCTATCTAATGAGACTTTCAGTCAGTCCACCTGCCCTTCAATTTCCTCCCAATTTGGCACTCTACTTCATTCTCTCTATCCCTCCATATCCCTGTTTAGAATGTCCTATCCTTTTCTCCTACACATTCTGGTCTATGTCCTAAACACCCTTGTCCACTGCCTAGACTCTGCACTCATCTGGCAAAAACCAAAGCCCAGATAAAGCTCAGTGTCCATCTTCCCTGCACCTATACTGAGAGCAGATTAATATCACTATAAATTTACCAGCCCAACCTCAAATGGGCCCCTGCACTGCCTGCCATTCCCCCTACCATGACTCCCACCACCTCACTGCCCCACTGTCTGCAACAATGATTTCAAACATTCTCTATCCTCCTTAGACCTCCAGCCTGATCCCTTCTCTTTCACTCCCAACAGAAGACTCTGCTTCCTACTTTATAAAGAAAAGCAGAAGCAATGAGGTAGAAAGTCCTCCATCTCATACTACCACATGTAAGCTCTACAACTATTCTGTACTCTTTTCCCTTCTGATACGATAGAGGACTTGGTCCTTCTAGATAAAGCCAATCTTGCCATCAATGCTTTGGAGTCTATCTCCTGTCAGGAAACTTACAAATATTAATTATCCCATTTTTTGCTCATATGTGCAACTTCCCAGTGATTTTTGAGAATACTCAGATCACTCTCATTAAAACATTCTTTGATATTACATCTCCCTCTACCTCTCTCCCTCCCTCCCTCCCTCTCTCTCTCTCTCTACCTGCACCCCCACCCCCAACCCCAACTCCTCCCCTTCATAATCACAGTTACCCAGGGATGTATTTACACTCAACTCTTATTCACTCTTTAGCCAACTCCAGTCTGGTTTCCACCTCTATTCTATCACCTAATCAGCTCCTGCTAGGGTTACCAATGATCTCTGTGTCACTAAGTACACATTTTGTCCTATTTTTAAATGGAATTCTGTGTTCTATGGGATACATTTTGAGTAATCCTTGACATTTCTTTTCCTTTGACCTATATGTTAAAAATGCAGCATCATGTCCTGTCAAATATCAGCTTTGTTTTAGTTTTTTAAATGTGTAGTGCTCCTTCCTGCAACAGGCCAGTCCCCTCACATGCTGTTTCCTTGGTCTGAAACAGCATCCTGACAACCCCTCACTGACTCAGCAGCTCCTCCTCTACCTTCAGAACTCATCTCAACCACCACTCCCACTGTGCTCTTATGCACACCTCTTCTCAATGGGGAATGAGGGGACAGTGGGTAGTGTTGGTGATGCAAGAATCATTGGTTTCTGACTTGCTAACGGGTGGTCCCCATCACTGAGAGAGGGAAGAATACCAGGTTTGCTAGGGAAGACAAAATGGTAAGTTTAAAATGCTGTTGCATATCCAAGAGGAGATGGCAAATGGGAGCTGGATATAGGGGTCTGGAGCTCAGTCATGAGGTCTGAACTAGAGATTTAAATTTGGCTTGGATGAGATTTCCTAAGGTGGAGGCTCTAAGACTGACCTTTGAAATTAAGAGCATCAACATTTAATAGCTAGATAAAGTAGGATGAGTCTATAAAGATACTAAGAAGAAATGATGAGGGAAGTATGAAGGAAAAAAATCAGTCATGTATTGTAATTTTGTATTTACAATTTGTTTGATTATTTCACTGACGTCTAGTTCCACTAGAAGATTATAAACTCTACAAGGACAGGAGCCCTACCTAGTTATTCAGCACCTAACACAGTACCCTTCAGAGAGGAGGTGCTCAGCAAAAAGGTTATAGATGGAAGAACAGACAGACAGATGGATGGATAATGGTGTAAACAAAGTTAAACAGGTCACTTCACAGCACAGCTTCTCAAAATCTTTGATATACTAATGAAAACTAAGGAAGGATATGTTATACTGTGTTTCTTATGTTTATCTGATTACAAAATACCTTTGATTCACAGCGATAGTTAACATCTTTTGATAAACAATACCATTTTAGGAAACTGTTCAAAATGCAGTGACAAAGCCCCAATAACAAAACAAAACAAACGAAAAAAAAACAATGTGTTCTCAAGATTCCCAATCACACCAGCATATCTGCACAATCCCGCTAAAAGGATGACATTTTGGCTCTTGGCAAAATGTATTTTTTAAAAGTTCGTTTACCAAATGAGTAGATAAATTAGCAAAATATGAAGATGAAGCATGGGAGAGCACTAAGGGAAAATAAAAGCAGATATATTTATGTGCTCCTCTGTATGTTCAGGATCTCAGTTACGGAAATAGTGTCTTGCTTACCTGAATAAAGTTACTACATTCTCTTGAGTCTCCATGACATCCTCTTCTGGAAGCATACTCAAAATTGCAGCTTTTAAGAACACATAAGTTGCCTTGAGGAAGTGAAGAAAAGCATCTTGTTATAGAACATCCCTAGATACATGACATTTCTACTTTGCAATCAGAAATGACCTATGCATCTTCCAGATATGGTATTTAAGAAGCAACAAAGGAATAAAGGGTAATGAACTCTTAAAAAATATTGACTGTTCCAAATGAGATCAACACTTTTCACTTAATGGGACTCATTTTCCTAGTATGCAACTATAGCTTTCATGGAAGAGAAAATGGACAAAATGAATGAAAGATCTTTATATCATTCCTCCTTAAGGGCATTGTAAAGTCTACAAATAATTATCAAAACTATTGAAATTTAATAACTTTTAAATTTAAGTGCAATTCATCTTCAGAGATAAAGCCTCTATTGAAAAGGAGTCTGGATGGTTTTTAAAGGATGTAGTGCTGAGGGCAGTGGTTATAAACAATAGGTACTAAATGCACATTTCCTCTTTGATGGATCTGTAAGTTGAGGAAACCATGTCAGTATCATACTATTGAACAAACAGTCCTTAATGCAAACCATCCTGTACAATTATTAGCAAACAGATGCATTAATGAAAGCACTGTACTTTACCTTGGACCATTTGCTCTCTTTGCAAAGCAGATCTGAATAGTAATAAGCCTTCATCCAATTTTGTTGGAATACATAAATCCACATCAGCTCCCAATAACAGAGATGGTGAAACTGTTTCCATTCTTCCTGAACTGTAATGCATTTTCGAAATACCTCTTGTGCCTATAAGTCAATTGCATAAAGCTGATCATCCAGATATTACACAAGGAGAAAATAACCTAATGGAAAAATACATAAAACACTTTGTACGAAACGAACAAAATCATCACTCATTAAACCACTCAATATGACGATATGTTCCTATCCTTACATTCATGGAGATAGTTAAGTTCTGTCTCTTTATTTAACTTTGTGAGGGGGACGTGAAACTTTATAATGTGGGAACAGGAGAATTCCTTCCTAAGACATAAAACATAGAAGTCCTTTAGGAAAATACTGAAAATAAAATCCAGAATGTCCAGAGGGAAAAGTATACCTTAAACAAAGTTAAAAGCAATGGACAGACTGGGAGAAGGTATCACCACATGTCTCACTGGCAAAGAATTAATCCTTACCGTAAAACCATTTTATAAAATCCTTAAGAAAAAGACAAACAACTCGATGGGAAAATTATCAAGGATATGAATAGATAAATCAGAAAAAAAGATATATAAGTAACAAATATACATATGAATAAATCTGTAAACTGAAAAATGTAAATTGAAAAATATAAACTGAAAAATATAAATTTTAAAATTAGGTTATAATTTTTCAGCCATGACATTGGCAAAAAGAGAACAAAGTTGGCAAGGAGCACTAAAAACAAGTATTCTCATATATTTACAAGCATTTAAATGGAATAGCCTTAACTTAGGAGGGCAATTTGGCTGAATGTATCAAGATGCTAACGTCTTTGACCTAGAAATCCTAATGATCAGTATTTGTCTTATATAAATACATCTATGCACAGAAAATATATACATAACAATGTTTACAACAGCACTGTTTATAATAGCCAAATGTCTATCAATAGTGCACTGCTTTAATGAGTATAGTATATCCATTCCATCGAATGGAACCCATCCATCAACAAGAATGAGGGAAATTAAAATATACTGACCTGGAAATAAATCCAAGATTTATTGTAAGTAAAAAACAAACAAATAAACAAACAAACAAACAAAGAAAAATACATATGATTGACCCCATTTGTATAGAAGAAAATGGTTTGTGAGTATATTTATATGAAAGGCTCTTCTTTTTCCTTAAGAGAATCAGTGAATACTTTCCTTTGATGAAGAGCATACAAGTAGTATAGTACATCTGTACCCTACGCAGGGCCTAGATTCCAAAGTCGATATGTAATGCATTTGATGATTGTTAAGCTTTTTGAAAAATCTCTTAAATTGCCCACCTGTATTTCATATATTCTATCCTGAATTGCCTCTTTATGTGTAAATGTATACTATAATCGGTAATCTACATTAATAGAATGCACACATAAAATTAAATTTTGGCTTTTTAATTACATATTATTTTCTTTGTTTCTGTCTACTGCATATAGCCTAACTTACTTAGGTTGGATGAGTGTGTGATGCAACTCCACCGTACAGACAACTCCCCAATGACTCCCCCAGATAAGTTACCTTTTCCACATTCCCTTTCAGCAGCTCTATTCTGGCATGATAAAACAACATGATTGCACCCTGTGGAGAAAGGAAGAAAACAGACTGTTCAATGGTCAACCATGGTTGATTACGGTTGAAACATGCACTTGTAATTCTAGACGTACATTTGGAAACTGCTGGAGGAAAGGTGCAAGGAGACTCTCTGCTTCCACAAGATTCACCTCTCCTGTACCTAGAAATTTAATAGGAAAAGCCTCAGTCTTCAGGAAACATAATAGATACTTATTAATTCTCCAAATGTCATTAAAATATAGCAAAGACCTCTTCACAGAAAAGACGAAAACTATTATTTTGTCATTTTTACAGCTAGGAGATAAAACAAGACAAGTCTCATCTATGACTTGAGTTTAAGAAAGCTCTAGGACAGACTAATTCTTAAGAATGAAGGTGGCTGTCTTAGATTCTAATTGGAATTTCTGGTTTTAATATCATTATTTACTTATTTTAGTCCAAAATTTAATTTTAAAAAGAATTCAATATGCAGATGCTAAAATAGATCACCTTAAGCAAGCCTCACAGAATTCTTTTAGCTGAGAACAGATTTAAAAATTCAGTGAAAGAAACCCTCCACCCCCCTGCCAAATGTTACTATTACAAATGTCACTATTTTCCTTTACTCAGAAATAAATAAACAGATAAAGACTACTAGCTCTTACAGATTTTTCTAAATTTTTACTTACTCAGATGAAAGATAATCAACTGTCAATAACATAAAATGTAATCCAATCCTTACCAAGTATTAGGGAGATATAAGTATGAAAAGCTAGCATAGTTAAGCAGCATAGTGGAGACCTCATACTTCTTCCTGAGGCACCTTCCCGTAATTGAAGGAGGCCCAGTTCCTGTGGGAAATAAATGCATTTTAGAATGGAAAGAGCATGACTGAAAAATCATATTCAGACACTTTAAAATGCTAGTTCATGTATCTCCACTCTCCACCAGGTTGGATTTATTTTTCAAGAGCTTAGAATAATAGTAATTCCTAACTAGAAGCAAACGTGACATTTTAAAATGGCACAAGACAATTTCACCAATTCTTTTATATCACGTAAAATTAGGGAGAGGAAAAAAGCTAAGCTCATTTCATAGAAATGCTGTATTTCTCTGATACAAATATTAATTTACTAAAACACACTGAGGATCTAAGTGGAAGGCACTATGCTGGGTATGAACAAATGTGGTTCTATGTCTTCCAAGATCTTTCCATCAAATAGGGAAGACAGTCTGTGAACACATGATTTTATTATAATGTGGTGAGTATCATATGGAAGATGAATGGTCATGGGAAAGGGTAATCATTAAATACAGAGCAGGAATAGATAGAACATGTCATGAAGGGATCACCATAAATACATAACAGCTCATGAAGAACCTGGGCAATGGAATAAATGTTGGGGGAGGCAGTTCACAACTTGTACTTATTCTCATATATTTCTCAAAACCTGCTCTCTTGACTAACAGGAAAAGCTTTTGCAATAAGGCAACTCTGATAATAGCATATTGAGCATTATGATTAATAAATGTCATACACTACAAAAACAACCACATAGAAATATAATGAACAAAACTCATGAAAACAAATTTTCCTTGCTTACTTTTATAGTGAAACTTACAAAAACACAAAATACTGGACCGATGCTTGACCCATGCGAATCATAAAATGTTAAACTTGGAAATCTAGCCTAGTTTCCTAGTTTTACAGAAGACTCTGGAGTCACAAAAAATGTTAAAGAAAAAAATTTGAACCACACAAGAGTATTAAAGGTCTAGCAAGCAGCAATATGAATAAAGTAAAAATTTTAATTCCAGAATTTCTGTAACAAAGACAAAAAATTTTAACTTTCACTAGAAAACTCATCTCTAACCTCTGAAAAATATACTCAAAGATCAATGGCTCTTTATTGTCCTGTAAACAAATTGCCAATAATTGTCATGCTATTTATGAGAACACACTGCATTGCTCTCATATTCAATAAATAATGTTTTATTTTCACTCTCAAAATTAAGATAAAATTAAATCTGTACCCTATTTCCAGAAAATCCTATAAATTCTAGCAGTCTGATAATCCGTGCTGGTAAAAGGGACAGCATCTGTAAGAAAAAAAATGCAAGTGTTCTTATGTGTTAGTGTATCTAACTGTAAATAAATGTCAAACACCAAACAATTTAATGTTTTAATGATTCAGTAATATGAAAAATTACAACCAAGTTTTAATCATTAGACATGTTTCAATCATCACATACTGTACATATTGTAAACATTACTTGTGAATTAATTTCATTTAACTAAGACAATGAACCTAAAAAAAAAAACCCTGGCTTTTTCAGAATGTGCTAAAAAAACTAGATTACAACCAAGTTTTAATCATTAGACATGTTTCAATCATCACATACTGTACATATTGTAAACATTACTTGTGAATTAATTTCATTTAACTAAGACAATGAACCTAAAAAAAAAAAACCCTGGCTTTTTCAGAATGTGCTAAAGAATACTAGCTCCTTTCATGTCATGAAGTGATGAGAAGGCACTCCCTCAGTGCCCACCTTTCCAAACAAGGTTTCTTTTAGCTTTCTTTTTCAGAAAGCAAAAGTCTGTTGTATTCTGCATGATATGCAGGCATCACCCAGAAGTGGACAGCTGTAGCACTACAGCTCTTTTCTGGGACATCCCTGAAGGAGTGAAGGGAAATCCTCTCAGTGTGGAACTTCGAGCAGTATACTTGGTTGTTCACTTGGCTTGGAAGGAGAAATGGCCATATGTGTGATTATACACCGATTCATAGGCTGCAGCCGATGGTTTGGTTGGGTGGTCAGGGACTGAGAAAGAACATGATGGGAAAATTGATGACAAGGAGGTCTGGAGAAGAGGTATGTGAATAGACCTCTATGAATGGGCAAAAACATGAACACATTTGTGTCCCATGTTTGCTCCAAAGGCTGACCTCGGCAGAGGAAGATTTTAATAATCAAGTGGATAGGGTGACCCATATTCTTTAGTCAGTCTCTTTCCTCAGCTATCTCTGTTATTGACCAGTGGGCTCATGAACAAAGTGGCCATGATGACATATACACTCATGCATAGGATTCCTTTTATCATTTTATTTTCTCACCAATTCCAGTCAAACCTAAAGTTTCAAAATCTCTAGTAGATCACAATTTGACAGATATTTACTCAAACTCTTCATCTGCCCAAGACATCAATATCATTCCCCAAGTTATATCATTCCCCTCACCTATTTTCAATTCCAGAACCACCAGTGCTATAGCAACAATATTTCTGATGTGGAAATGGAACTGGATTCCAAGCTCCTTATTACTGAAAAACATTACTAGTCCATTCAGAGTGCTACATGCTTTCCTATTGTACAATTCAATACAGCATGTGCCTGACTTTACAACACATACTGACCAAAGCCCCATTGGGCCACAACACAAGAAAATTGATCCCACTCTACCAAACCCAGGTAGAGGTTCAGAGTGAGGTTCAAATGCAGTACAGAAGGCACTTTAAACCTATGGTTCTTTTACAAAAGATTCTGGTTGCTTTATAATTATGTACCTACCAAATTAAAGGCTCCTATTCCAAGTTTGACACCCCCCTCAAACTCATAGAAGAATTGTTGTTCAACTCTGTTCTTCTGAATTACATGCAGAATAGAGAGACATTCTCTGGATTGAAGAAAAAAAGTATAGCAGAAGTTTAGTATGACTCTGAAAATTAAGTCAATTTCACACTACATACTATAAAATAATTATGTCATTAGCCAAAATACTAGAGAATATTTAAGTGGATGGTGCTGTGCTGAGTTTTACTCTTAAGGCTACTGGATAATAATCATTAAGAAAACGTCACACTTATTTTTACATTGTTTATCAAGACCACCCTTTCTGGGCTTACAGCAAGAGTAGGTTCAAACACCAGCAAGCATGACTCAGGAACCACAGAACCACAGGACTGTGACCTTACAGGTTCCCAGCAATGTGTGAGAGGGGACTTCCTAGGAATATTCCACTCCTCAGTTGCTGTGCACACTTCGGCCACCCTACTTTCCACCAAGTAACTGAGATGCTACTGACAAAAAGAACTTAAGTGTGATCGCCATGGTCTCAAATAGACCAAATAAATCAGAGCTTGTGATTAGGAAAAACTGAAAGAGGAAAGCAAATTTCATCACAATGGCCCATTTTTCCTCCATTTTTCCTCTTATTTTTTCCTGTTCCATCCAAGCAAATCTCCCTGATTTCTCACTTTAACTTCTTTTC